AGTACCGAATTTTCAAGGAAGAATTAGCATCTAGGGTTTGATACCTAGATCCATATTTATAGTTTCCAGTTGCTTAGTCCCAAGGCAACTCTAAAACCCTGATAGGGCTTACCCAAATTCATCCAACCCTATTTCTATCCTTTTGGAATGTTCCAGTTAATGAAACCTTTAATTAACTAACATTAATTCCCTCTATTTACTTATTTCCAAAATAGTTTCTAATTAATATCATATTATGACAAATTAATAAACTAATTTCTCCTAAATCCATTTTGTCTGTTTATTGCTCAAATGGGCCTTAAGGGAAATCCAAAAGGACCTTGCAATTCTTAGAAATATTACCAATAATCATAACATTTAACACTCTTTTCAACTTATCAAAATGACTAACAGCCTAGTGCATGTCTAGTCATCAACAATGAGTATTCTAGGCTCTTGACTGTATTGCCTATCCACGATCAAGTCATCAAACATACAAGTCAACATATCATACAATCAAATAATAACATGAAAAGACTATACTAGCCTACTTGCATAATCTACAATACATCTACATCCTATAATGCAAAGGATATATACTGTAACACATAGTATAGTCAGATAACTCACCTGAGTTGAAAGTTGAAAAATCACTACTACACACGCGCACATATAAAAATCGGTCTCATGAACTACCTAGATAACAATTAGAGGTTAAACCTCAGTCTTAAAGTTTGACCAACAGTCAAACTGGTCAAAAAGTCACCGTTCAACTGGTCAAAGTCAACAGTCAACTGGTCAAAGTTAACTGTCAACGACAAGCACGTCGTGACCAAGACCAGGCACTCCGAGCCTCACTACAAGACAAAATAGTCGTAAAATCCCAATACATGCCCCACGACATGCAAAATACGTATTTCTACCTATGGCTTAACAACTTCCTTCTGTTAAGCACATATTCCCTTAAGTCAGAAGCCCAAACTTCATATCTGGATCTCCTAAGTGACTTAATGTATAAAGTTTCCAACTTTATCTATTTCCATGTCTTAATCTATTCTATACTAAAGCTAACTCTAAAAGGACAAAAACTCATGTATAACCCAAAGGGAAATGCATACAATCACATTTTTCCATCCTCAACCAAGTCCAGAAGTGATAATAATCACTCATAAGGGTCTGGAGTTCTCCAAACTCCAAGAACACCAAGAGAAGGGACTAAAAGCTACTAAAATGTCATAAAAGCTAGATTTACAGAAATATATGAAAAAGTTGGAGCTTTATACTCAGAAAGGTTTAGAAATATGATGAGAATGTTGTATCTAGGCTGCTACAAAGCATCCTTGCACCAAGAGTGAATTCCTTCACTTTCACTCTTTACAAAACAAGGTAGAAAGCATAAAACTTGCAATATATGCTAAGGTTTTGGGTGAAGAGACGTTTTTGGGAATGGGGGCTGCCAAATAAGGCAAACCCTAGGGGCAAGTTCCTTTAAATAGGGGTTAAACGTTGAGAATTAGGGTTTCACTTAACAATTAGGGTGCGCCGCACTTTTACTTAAGCACGCCACGTTTGCCATGTGTTAAAAGCGTCGCGACCATCTATTAACGTGTCGTGCCTAGTCTGAAATTCCATAACTTGATAAAATAACATCTACCAGGAATCGGGTGTTACAAGAACAATCTCTTCTGTCCATCAACGTAGGTCATCTTGACTGAACCATGTAAATACTATGGCTGAGCAAAAGCGAAACCAAAAAACCGACAAAAACTGATAAAATTGAAACCGAAAAACCACAACTAAACCTAAACCGTCGTGGGTTTTACTTTTCCAAACGAAAAATTCGGTTTGGTTTCAGTTTGTGTATAAGAGACCGACCCACTAAAATCAAATCAACCCAATGGTTTTAAAACCGTTTAGAAACTAACCGACCAAATACACTATTATTACTTATTTAATATATTTTTCATAAATATTATAGATTCTATTAATAAAGAAAATATAGAAAAATAGGAACCCAAGCCCCTTTACCGTATGTTATAAAAGAACTTACCTACCTTCTTAGAGCTTACCGTATATATCATATATATTATAACTTGGTTTGTTCTTATTTTTTCATATGTATCATATTATAAAGATTTATATAAAATTTGCTAGAAAATAGGTTAAAATTCAAACTCCATGGGTGTAAGCCCAAAACCAATCAACTCATGGGTTGAACCCGAAAATTGAAAAAACCGACCCATAAACTCGAAAACCGAACCTATAAAAAACCGAACCTAATGGGTTTCAAAACCCAAAAATACGAAATTATTGGTGTGGTTAGGTTTCATCCAAAAATTGACCCATACACGCCTAACAAATATTATATCTTTATATGTATGATTTCATGAGTCGTTTTACTTTTCTAATAAGGTTCAAACACTTTTTATGCTTTATTGCCGACCTAATATTAGTTATAAAATATTATCCATTAAACTCTTCACTATATATGTAAAATGATAAAGAAACATTTTCTTTGCAAAAAGAAATTTGGTAATTCAATTTAAAATATAAAACTAAATATATAATTTAAAATTATGAAATTTTAATTTTTTTTAAAATATGTCAATATCAAAATACTTTAATTTCTTTTACCGTATTTTATTTCATTTTGAATAAAATGAAATTTTGATTTATAATAAAGAATGTATATTTAAAGAAATAACAAGAATTTGCCACCACCATGTATCATCCAGAATGAAATCAACAATCCAAAGTAGGTTACTTTTCTGTTTTTAGGTGCTTCTGAAAATTTCAGTTGATGTTCAGCTGGAGTGATTGATGTGGCCAAAACCGCATACCACGGTGGATGATACGAGGTGGATGACGTATCACTGTATGGTGTGATGAACATGACATCACCCATGTGTGCGGTGATGCTGCCGTATAAGGAACGAACACTGTATGAAGAAATTAGCCCCGTTGATTTCCTCTTCAACGGTCATCTAACGACTAATTTTTTAAAATTATTTCTTTTTGTTTTTTTTTAAAAACCCACTTACCCCGCTCTCTATGAAACATTTTACAAAACCACAATACATTTTATCACACAAAATACAACCCTTTACACAAAATCACGTGCCAATCGTTCACAAACACCGATTCCAAATGTTTTTTCTTTGGATCCGTCTGTTTACCGACCACAACACATACCCCAACCCCAACAATTTCACTACCAACATCAATATTACTCCATATTATGTAATCATTTTTAGCTATGTAATCGTTTTTAATTAAATAAATGAAATAGTTCTTTTTATTATTATAAATATATATTTTAATATTTATATAATTATTAAATTACATTTAAAAAAAGAAAAAAATAGTATCACTTCCTAGCAATTTTGTGAGAAGAAAGAAATGATGAAAGTGTGATAAATTGTGGTATCGATGTATATAAAAATATTAATTAATAGTACAATTTAAGAAAAAAAAAACCTATACGATAAGATTTAAAGTGAAAGTCAGACTCCGAAGTTAGAAGTCCAGTGCACATGGACCCAATGGGCTCTTTGGATTGCTTGTACAGTTGTACGCCGTCGAAAATTGAGTTGCAAGCCCAATTTAATTTATCCACAAGGCCACAATTGTGACTATGTGTAAGTAGAGGGTCCTGAACTAGGGGTGAACAAACCGGTTTTTTTTCCAAACCGAACCGGTTCAGTAAACCGGTTCGGTTCCGATTCGTGAATAGTAAAACCGGTTCAGGCATAAACCGGTTCGGTTCAAACCGATTCCGTCTTAGAAAAACTCGAACCTATCTAAACCGGTTACACCGGTTCAATCGGTTCTAAACCGGTTCGATCGGTTTGACTACCGGTTCTAAACCGGTTCACGGTTATTAAACCGGTTCTAAACCGGTTTCAATGTCTAAAATCTCGAACGGGTGCAAACCGGCGGTTCGGTTCCTGGTGGACCGGTTCGTAGTGAACCGGTTTACCGGTTCGGATCTTGAACCGGTTTTTTTGTGCAAGCCTATCCTGAACCGATTATCTTAAAAGGTATTCTGCCCAACCTTTTCTTATGTAGAGCACTCCAAGCTCTTTCGATTGCCCATTTGCCCATGCAAGGTAATATGTAACGCCTAAAGAAACCAATACGATGCTCCAATTTATACTGCAATTTACTATATTTATATAAACTAATAAACGACATAAATATAAATTGTAGCGAGGGCTGTTTCTAACATATTTTAGTCCTAATGTCAAAGAAAAAAAAATCTTTCGGAGAAGAAACTGAATAAAAAATTCATCTTCTTTTGGATATAAAGGGATAATGTCACTGTAGCACATGAAACTTTCTTCATTTGACTAATTTGGTCCTTAAAGTTTTTTTTGGTACATTAGACCAATAAACTCGTAATTGATCTATTAATTACACCATTATCTAAAAAATTAGAAGGTTTACCGGTTACAATGCTTATGTGGCACGCTGATGTGTTCAATAAGCTTACGTGGGATGCTTATGTGTCGAAGAAGTCCACTTGTCGATATAGGCTTATTAATTGAAACCCTCATCTGGACCTCCATTAAAGTGTTACTTACCCTTCTCTGAAAAGTCAAAGACTTCCCCCGACTAAATCCATCTTGAAGAACAATGTCTTCGAGCTCATCGACCTCAAGGAATCAGCTACAAGTCACTCATGTTCAGTCGCGAGAAGGGGTAAACCTTTGTGATTGTGGCGTTCCAGCTAAAGAACGAACGTGTTGGAAGATAACAAACCCTGGGAGGCGTTTCTGGAATTGTCAAAACAGTATGGTAGGTCCCGATACTCCTGATTTTGATAACTTAGTATTTTAGGGTTTGCTGTGTTGTTTCTTGCTGTAAAGACGATCATGGTAGATTTGTATTTTGTTTGCTTAAAAAAACCCTAATTTTATTTGCTTCTTGACGATGGTGAATTGTGAATCAAACCCATTTCGTTAGTACATTAAAGGTAGCTGATTTGTGATTGTGAATCAAACCCTAATTTTATTGGCTTTTTATAGACTAGGTTGAAGAAATGTAGCTTCTTTGAATGGAAAGATGAAGAACAGGCAGAAATGTAGCTTCTTTGAACTGAAACCAGTTCCTAAATTCAAGTTTAGATCATCAATGAGAAGCTCTAAAAACCACTTCCAATTCAGCTTGTTCTCCACATTAACCACTGCCCAAGCAATATGATATATCTTGTCATTTGCATCCCTCCCAATAGCACAAAGCAATTCCCCCTTACAATCACCTTTAAGAAAACATCCATCAAGACCTATTATCCTTCTACACCCTTCAATCCAACCTTGTTTAACTCCTTGAAAACAACAATAGAACTTGCTAAAATATTTCTTTCCATCTGGACCATCCTCCACATCTAGTTTCATAGTTGACCCAAGATTTGTCCTTAAAATCTCATGACCATAGCTTACCATAATGTTCAACAAGGCTACCTTCAACAAGATTCAGTGCATACTTCTTTGCTCTTCTACATTGCCCCATACTAACTTGGATACCAAACTTGGCCATTACCTTTACCCTAAGCTTCCTTACACTTATTTTCTGACTTTGTACAATCTCTTTGGCATAGTGACTCCCAATCCATGCATATGTCACCAATGATCCAAACTTGAAGTTCCTCGCACAATTATGATCAGCTTTTAGTGACTTGATTTGGAAACTCTCTTCATCACTCATCCAAGAAGCCCATAATCTAACTGTGCAAGCACCCTTGCTACACCTCACCAAAAGTCTTTTCCTATCATTTTTTCAAAAAACAATTGATATCCATTAGCTACAACATAGTTACACAACACTGATTTTACTTGCCCTGGACTCTTAAATCTCATCCCTAGAATTGGTTTTTGTTTTTTCCAGTGTAATAGCTCATTAAATATGGAATGAGTTTGAATGTTAAGTTCAACTTCTCTCCCATTGTCATCATCTACAATGTTGTTATCCTCCTCATCATCAACACATAGCTTACTCAAGAAAGGATCATTTGATGTTTTATTCATATGCACTACATCCTCATTAATTTCAAAGGCAACATTCCTAAGTTCATCTATGTTATCTTCATTTTCACCATCAATACAAGACTCATGTTCATCATCATCATCATTATCTTCATCATCAAGCCACCCATCAACACCAACCCCAATATGATCCACATAAACCAAAATTACACCATCTGTTCCATAAGCATCAAAAATAAAAGCAACATATTCCACATCATCTAAAATGGGATTAAGCCCTTCCATCAGGGAATTGCCTGGTTCACAGTAGTATAACTTTTTACACTCTTCATGCATGAAACGTTCGCAGAAGGTCACAAACTCAGAATAAGTCATAGAAGAAAAGTCGACATCATTGAAGATGGTTTTAACACCACCAGTGTAAGAGAAAGGATTTCAATTAAATACCCCTTGGTAGTTGAGTTCCACCATCGCAAACACTCCATTAGGTTCCGATTGTGCCATTTCTGCGACTTCTTTGTTTCTTCAGCTCGATCACAGGAATGCTTCGCAAACCCTAACTCGGTTTCTTTTACAGCTGAATAATGAAGATGAGTGAAGTTCGATATCTGAAGACGAAAGGCTTTAAGCTTCGTATATCATTAATTGATGTGGCATATCTCACGTGGCATCGGATTAGACAAAAAATATGTATTAATTGACATATATAAAATGTCAACCGGGAAACCGTTTAAAAGTTGATAAAATGGTGTAATTAATAGGTCAATTACGAGTTTACTGGTCTAATGTACCAAAGAAAAAAACTTTAAGGACCAAATTAGCCAAATGAAGAAAGTTTCATGTGCTACAGTGACATTATCCCTGGATATAAATTTACAAATAATACATCAAGATTAACATTGAAAAACAAATAGACCAAACCACTACCAATAGACTTAATTAAATTTTATATTAAATGTCAACTGAATAGTAAGTAATCATTACAAAAAAAAAAAATTATTCTATATCACCTTAGATGTTTACCTTTCTGTCTAGATTTTTTTTGATTGATATTCATAATCATATGTCTTATAAAGAATGTTTTCACATGCTTTTGGTCGACCTATAGTACAAATATACCAACCGTGTATATAACTACCACAAATAAAAAGATGCACCTCAATACATAAATATTAATTCTTTTTAAATTAATGGCCTAGCCGACTTTAAACAAAATTTATGATTGTAAAAGAACCTCAAAACCTAATCATATCACTTAAAACATGCATACTCTCACCACCTATTCTCCATTCTTTTAATTTGATAAACCAATTCACGAGAAGGGTTTGATAAGCATGAGGGTTATTTATTTTGAATCATGACAAAACCATGTTGCAATCGAAAAACCTAGGCTTAAAGATAAATTTGATGCAAATAAAAGATAAAACTATAAAAAATACATATTGTTAGTATGTTATATGTCTTATTATTGAACATAAACCAATAATAAATTACAAACTTTGTCTCTAAGCTTAACACGAAAAAAGAAGTTCGAATGCTATATATGACTTAATATTTTAATAATTGAAAAACATTAAAAGAAGTTGTTAGTTCTTACCGGTTACAAAAACACTCTCACATTTTGTTTTATAAAGTTACTCTAGAAAATGAGTTTGAAAGAAAACAACTACCATAAGTTCATCTTTCTAGTGCCCTATGTAAATCTTAATAAAATTTAAAACTACTTAGAAAACCACACTACATGACAATGACATATTATGATAAAAATGACATCTTTTCATCATATCATATCATATCACACTATATTATAAATGAGACATTTTTCTTATCATTATATGCATTCGAAACCTCCATGACCTTTTAATTTCCAACTTAATATAATTAATCTATTAATTTAAAATATATTACTAGATGCAAAATATTATCTTTATTATTGGTACAATTTTAAAAATGATTATTATAATATACTTATTTTTATTTACATATTATGTTAAATCAAAAACATTAATCAAAATATAAAATAATAACACTATATGTCACATCCCAAACCGGAACGGTGGAAACGTTCGGGGTTGGATGACGTCATGTATAGTATCACAACCATTGCATTAAGTAATCAAAGTAAACACAACCATTACATTAATTAAGTAAAATGTTTACATCAATTTGATTCATGTTTATAGACATCAAAAGTATGACAAAAGTAAAAGACGAGACTCTATATGCTCCGTCTTCTCAAAACTCCAGGAGGTACATGTCTACTGATTTCCTGAGAATACAAGCAGTTTTGAAAGAGTATCAGCGTAAAGCTGGTGAGTTCATAAGCATGTTTTTGAGAGAAAAGTCGGTCAATGAATCAATAAATGTATTTGTATGCTTCCAAGAAAATCCATTATTTTCTAATGAGTGTATTTTGTTACTAAGTCTTATTGAATATGTCGCGCATTGTTTTGTTGAATAAGAAACCTATTTTTACATGAAAAACTCGGGTTATTGCCAGTATGTATAATAAGTTCGGAAAAGCCTTGAAAACTTTAATAAGTATAATTGTTCTATTATTTTATATTAAAACTAATTAAAGTTATTACCAGTTGTATATTAATCGTATATTCTTAGTACCAAATTTATGAGTTGTTATAACCATACTTGACCATTGAATTGCCTGAACGACGTTCTTCAGGCGTCGGAATCGAAATGACTTTGTCACCCAGGCCTGCCGGCCTAACTGTAGCTAACAGTTATGGTGCGGGATTGTCAATCCCGTATAGATCTATACACAAACTCACGTTCTCCCTCCAGGAGACTCTGGTTATAATCTCAGGGCTTTTGTTAGTACTTAAGTAAGTACGCGAAGAACGCTCACTCATAAAATGCTATACTAACGATTACGTGTAGAATAAAATGAATCCATTGAATTTAACTTGCTGTCTATATACCTCATAAACTACACATTATATAGTTTATATGTCTGGTTGCATTGAATCTATGATTTGTACCTTGATATGTTAATTGTTCCATAAACTATACCTATTATAGTTTATATGTTCATTCATGTATTCAATTCATGTTTTACATTGAGAGCTCTGTGATTAAGATAAAAACTCCCCTGATGCTCAGCATAGTACAAAAAGGGATAAAATATATATTTTATGAAAATATAGAAACTATATGATTTTATTAATTGTATCCGTTTTAAGTTCATTGAAATCTTTTTGTATAAGTTTCACAAAATCATTTATGTCTGACTTGTATTCCCCCTGAAAACGTTAAAAACAGTAAAGATATAGGGGTATGAACTCACCTGAAGTGAGTGGGTTGAATGAAAGATCGATATTGGATGTTGAGTGTCAAGTGAAGTCTCGAACACAGATGGATCCTATTTAGCATGTAATAACACATATATGCATCAAATTAGGGTATATCACAACTAGTTATGATAGGAAACCACCCTAGGAACTTGGAAACACTTGAAACTAAGTGTTAAAATCATATGTGATTGACTGAGGGAGGTGTACGGTGACACAAAGGTATGTACGGCCATGGGTGTACGCCCCATGAGTGTACGGTCGTACACTCATGAAGAAGTGTGCATTTGAGGTGTTTTTAAGGTCCTAACTAGTATCAAGGAAGTGTTTTAGGTCCCATGTTTATCTTTAATGCAAGTTTAAGGCCAATAATGAGCATCAGAGAGGGTTTACGGCCCTATGGGGTGTGTACGGCCATACACCTGGGTTTACGGCCGTACACCCTTCATGTTCATGATTAGTTGGTCGATTTCAAGGTGAATATCAAGTACTTCTAGTAGGTAACAAGCATAGGAAGCAGTTACTCACGATTTGGAAGCTTGAAGAGGGTTTACAGCCACCAAGAACTAGTGTGTGTTCTTGGTGAAAGATGAAGATCTAGCAAATGATGAAATTAATAAGATGAAAACATGGATTCACCATTAGATAAAGTAATGTAGCAACAAATCAAGGTGGGAAACACTTACATCTTAGAAGATCTTGGTGAGAAATGTGATGATAGTTGAGAGAAAAGCCGAAATCTTGGCTTGGGAGTGTGTAAAGTGTTGAAAAATGGCTAAGTACCCCTTATATAAGTGAGAGTGTACGACCATGAGGGGGTGTACGGCCGTACACCCATGTGTACGGCCGTACACTCCTCCTGAAGGAGTGTTTGGCCCGAAATGCAACTTTATGACTTTGATAACACATCCCTAAACCGCAACCTTGATTTAACTAAGCTTAGGACACTCAAACAGACCCTAAATAATGCTAAAAGATAGCAGAAATGAACTGACTTTGATTGAATTGAATGGCTTATACAAAAGAGAAATTTCGGGTTGCCACATCATCCCCCCGTTAGAGGGAATTTCTTCCCGAAATTGGAGTTTAAGCAATTACAAATAATTAAGCGAAAAGATGAGGATATTTCAGTTTCATTTGATCCTCGCGCTCCCAAGTAAATTCAGGTCCCCGCTTGGCATTCCAGCGAACCTTCACTATCGGGATGCGGCTTTGCTTCGTTCGCTTGACCTCATGATCCATGATCTCTACTGGTTCTTCCACGAAGTGGAGGCTCTCGTCGATCTCGATCTCGTCGAGTGGGATTACAAGAGTCTCATCGGATAGGCACTTTTTCAAGTTCGAGACGTGGAAAGTAGGATGTACGTTACTAATTTCATGAGGTAAACGAAGTTTGTATGCTACGGGACCGATCCTAGCGAGGATCTCGAATTGTCCAATGTATCTTGGATTCAGCTTTCCATGCTTTCCAAAGCGTATCATGCCTTCCCAGGGTGAGACCTTCAAAAGGACACGGTCACCAACCTGGAACTCCAAGGCTTTTCGTCTCTTATCGGCGTAACTGTTTTGTCTATCTCTGGAAGCTTTTAGTCGTTCCCGGATTTGTATGATCTTTTCAGTAGTCTCTTGGATGATTTTTGGGCCTGTGAGAGTGCTATCGGGGACTTGACCCTTTACTAGCTGCGTGTCACCCACCTCAGCCCAACACAGAGGGGATCTGCACTTACAACCATAGAGGGCTTCGAACGGCGCAACCTTGATGCTGGTATGGTAGCTTTTGTTGTAGGAAAATTCAACTAAGGGCAAATAAGTGTCCCACGACATGCCGAAGTCGATGACACAGGCTCTCAAAATATCTTCCAATGTCTGAATGGTCCTCTCACTCTGCCCGTCTGTTTGTGGATGATAAGCCGTGCTCATCTCCAGTTTAGTTCCAAGAGCCTTCTGCAGTGACTGCCAAAATCTCGAGGTGAATCTGCTATCTCGATCAGAGATAATGGACACTGGCACACCATGCAGACGAACTATCTCTTGTATGTAGATTCGTGTAAGTTTCTCCATGTTGAAGCT